TGCGGACTAGTATGATGGACATGTCCGTATCACTTTATATTCATTTCACATCTGGACTGAATTTAGACCGGTTCGTGATGTTCAGACAATTAAGAACGGCTTGGGAGCCATTATTAGACCGACCATTTTTGTGTACACAGTGTTTGGAGAGTCATTCAAACACTAGTAGATTAAGCAAAGAAGAAAGATGATCGATCTCCTTTGCTCAAACTCTAAAAGTTAGAGAAAATTTTCGCTGTGAAGGTTTGGGGCTTGGAGATTTTTATTTATAAAACAGCATCTACAGTATATTTTGTAGGCAGTGTCCGTTTCTAACAGTACAGATGTATACGCTCATACATATGCACATATATTCATGCTATGAACACACATCCTACACATATTAGCAATTTTAAAGACCGACATATTATTTTAAGATTGATGAACTCATCACAAACGTCTTCATCGTCAATGAGAATGAACACACGTCGTTGAAAAGATTAATAAATTCAAAAAATACGATCACTAAGAGCATGGTTAATAATATAGTCAGTTGTTGGCTATATGATGTTGTCACGTCATATATAGTCAAACTTATAGCCGACAAATACAATAGCTGGATATAAATATATACTACTTTATTGATACATGACCCACCTTACTCTCTCACAAAGTAGCTAGGAGCATGTGTTGCAGCCGGCTGTTAACTAGTAGCCCTCTTCTCTTCTTTTCCTCTTCTTTTTCTTTCAACCAAGCAAAAATATAATATTTAATGTATTACCGTCCGTCTACATCATCTTATTGTACTTGCTTTAATGCGAAGCGTATTACTTGAACTCTGATAGATTAATTAACCTAATCATCTGTCCCTAAAAAAACCCTAATCATCTGACCTACGCTCAATTTTTTTTTGAACACAAACCTACGCTCAATTCGATCTTGACTTGACTCCCACACATGCCGTGTCAGGTCAGCACCACGTCGGATTTTATTCTTTTACTTACGCATAATACTAGTCCCAGTCGAGCTCCTCCATATTTGCAGATACGCCCCTCCCACTCTCCCGCCGTTTCCAAATCCAACCCTGCTCTATAAATAACAGGCGACAATTCATAAAAGGAGCGCGAGATCGATCGCGCGCGCCCTCGATCGGATCGGAACCCGTCGAGGAACCGCGAGGGAGCTCGATCCGATCGCGGGAGCGCCGCGCCCACCAGATCAGGAGGAGCTGAGGGATCCCAGCCAAGGAGGAGCGCGCGGTTGGGCGCCTAATTTGTGCTGATTGGCCGATCTCTGCTTCTTGTTCCAGCGCGCGTGCGGATCCATGGAATCAGCATCGGAGAGGACTGGTGAGCGCTTTGCTTTTGCATTGTTGTTATGTTGCGTGCTCCATGGCGGGTGAGATTTGGATCCTGTAGCTTGAGGATCGGCCTGCTGAAACTGCTAGTGACTGCTGCTGCTTGGTTCAGGATGTTACGGCGATTCCCTAGGACATATATTCGCCGCAGAGTGAGTTGATGTGCGAGATCTTGGTGCCTTGTTACGGGTGATTTTATATTATCTCGCGTAATCATGCCATAGCTCTTGGTAGCACTTGAGAAACCGTGGACATTATTAGTAGCCAGCTGTTGGATTCGACAGGCAGAGCCTGGCATGGAGGAATTGCCCGAGCTTCAAAACTTGCGCATTCCTGCATTTAACATTGGCTGGGTGCTATGCGGCGACCATATGGAAATCGTGTCACATGTTCGTGGTTTGTGTAGTAGGCTCAGGCTGCGCTTAATTATATACATATAGTTATGCTCATGTACGTGTCTTGTGAATAGTTGGTGCAGGCCTGGACTAAAGCAGAGGGCAGTGGTAGGATGCCTGTATCATAACAGAAACCCGGTGATCCAAGTGTGAGGCCTGGGGAGACCTCAATTGCAACATAGTGCTGTTTGACCAAAAAAAGAAAGAAAGAATGGCACTGAATGATGGTCATGACCGCCTTTGTTATGCATGATTGATGCTGGTAGCATCATGATAAATTAGGCTAGAATAATTGAATAACTGGCCTGAATCCGTACACCAAGTTGGAGTGCTGCGCGCATAACCATTGTGTTAATAACATTCATCTGCGGTGCATGTGACTCCCGCGGTAGGTAGGTTGCTGAATGGCAGGATTCTATGTTGGATGCAACTATGGTGCGAAGCAGCTATACTTATTTCTTACTTTTGGCTATTTATGCAAGCTTAGCTTCATTTTAGCCTAGTTTTGTTATGATTGTGCCTTTTCTTCTAAAATGACAGGGCCAAAAAAAGGTATGAACAAAACATGAGCCTACGGCGTTATCTTTTCTGTTTTACATAGGCTATCACTAATTTACCATTCTTGAGACTTGAGCTAAGTCACTGAATCTTTCTGCTTTAGGCGCTATGGATTCACCGGAGCCAAGAATCGAGGTCGAGCAAAAACCTGTTATCGGTAGTAACACTAAAGAGCAGGCCATTATTTGATTATATTTTTACAGATATTCTATAGAAACTGTTGACTGTTTTTCACCCTTTTTCCTATTGTATACCTTACCCAGACCATTCCTATGAAGGATGAGAAAACTGTTAAACCCACCATTTCACTTGATTCAAGTGTTATCAATCTACCAAGTGAAGGACAAGTCCAGGCGGTCACATCCAACATAGGTGGGGAACATAGTGCTGCATATCCACAACACATTTATTCATCGCAAGCAGAACCATTCTATTACCAAGGTGAGGTCACTTTTGTGCTGTATTTACAAGGTTGCACCTTTGGATCGCATGGTTATTCTCTTGTTTGTGAAGCAAAACATATGTTTACACTGACGAGGTGTGCTTCGGTACCCCCTGCTCCCCTCAGTGCAGATCAACAGTTAAGACTAAAACTTACACTTTTGATATTGTCGGCAATCTCTACTCTCAGCTCACATGAACACGAAGAACATAGAGACAAAGAGGATTTTTTTGCGCCGCGTGCAATTGCAACTTTTCTGATTTCTTTCTTCTCCTTTTATTCGGGTTACAAAGGACGTGTGGTGCCCACTGTCCCTACTTGCTCGTGCCATCCCATGGATGGATCTAAGTGCTGCAAGAATCACTCAAAACAAGCCTACGAGCTAAAAGCGCTAACTGAAGAACAATTGCCCTGGCAGCGAAAAACGCGTGCCATGTCAGCGAAACCGGACTACCGTGCAGACAAGGTTTATTCTAACAATCACCCCTAAAACTTTTATGCGGAAGTAGAGACACTTGTCGTGGTTAGGGTTGTTGTTCCCGCCGCCAGCATTGTTGTCAGCACCCCGGTGGCGCCCGCCGCCACCTCCGCGGCCCTTCTAGCGTCCTCCCCTGTTCGAGGAGCCTGACCCAGAGCCGCCGTTGTTTGAGCCGCCGAACTTGTACTGAGCGAGCCACTCCTCAGTAAGGAGCAGCCGCCACATGCCGTTGTCGATCTGGTTCAGTTCAAATCGCTCCTTCGCCGCCATTAGCCGCCCCGTCAGTTCCTCGCCGATGAGAGTGTCCAGGTCGAAGAGGGTCTCGATCGACAGAGCGATCTGCGAGTATTGCTTAGGGACGACACAGAGAACTTAGAGACAACGCGCTTCAATGGCACTGCCTCGCTGAGCTTTGCCATTTGTGTCACCATACTCCTGATGCACATGGCGAAATCGTCCACCACCTCGCCGTTGGTGCACCGGATGACGATGTACTGCTTCAACAACGTCACAAGCTTGGTCTCACGCACGCGTTCTACCCCGAGGCGCATCGTCTTCAGGGTGTTCCTGGCCTCTTTGGCGATGGCCTTGGCAGCGAGCGTCGCCATCACCTCCGGAGGAACACCGAGGAGGATCACCTCGAGAGCGAGCCGGTTGTCGCCATAGATGGTGGTGCTAGACTCGATCGCCTCCCAAAGATGCCGGCACTCGAGCATCACCTTCATCAGGAGGGCCCAATCCCCGTAGTTTGCACGGGTGAGCATCGGCTAAGGGGTGCCGCCGCCTTCATGCACCACCCGAGTCTGCATGATCCGCCCCTGCCCTTTTTCGATGCTGGTGATCTAAGCTCGCGGTGCGCCGAGGGGAGCCTGCTGCCTTTTCAGCTTGTCGTCATCACCCATCTCTCAACGAGGCTCTGATGCCAAATGTTGGCAATCTTTACTCTCTCTGCTCACACGAATACAAAGAACAGAGAGACAAAGGATTTTTTGCGCCACGTGCAATTGTGACTTTTCTGATTTCTTTTTTGTCCTTTTATTCGGGTTACAAAGGACGTATGGCACCCATGATCCCTACTTGCTGGTGCCATCCCACGAACAGATCAAAGTGTGGCGAGAATAGCTCAAAACAGGTGAGCCTACGAGCTAAAAACGCTAACTGAAGAACGGGTGCCATGGCAGTGAAAAACGCATGCTATGGCAGCAAAAACGGACAACCGCG